AGGCTGGTGTTTTCTAAGATGGACCTGGTGCGTGGATACCACCAGGTGCCCATGCATCACCTGGACATTCACAAAACGGCGGTGATAACGCCATTTGGGTTGTTTGAGTTCCTGCGAATGCCTTATGGGCTCAAGAACGCCGCTCAAACATTCCAGCGCCTGATGGATTCGGTACCGCGGAACTTACCGTTTGTGTTCGTCTACCTGGACGACATACTCGTCGCCAGCACTTCTGAGGAGGAACACCTGTCCCACCTCCAAGCCCTTTTCACGAGGTTGCCTTTAAGGAGGTCAAGACCGCGCTGGCTCAGGCTGCCCTGTAGGTGCATCCTTCATCCACGGCCCCCATCTCCATTACCACAGATGCATCGGACTACGCCGTCGGTGCGGTGCATGAGCAGTGAGTGGAGGGCGCCTGGCAACCACTCGCCTTCTTCAGCCGCCAGCTGACGCCCAGGGTACGCAGGTACAGCACTTTTGACTGGGAGCTCCTTGGACTTGGACCAGCCAGTGGTGCTGGCACGGCCTCGCCCCCAGCCTTGACCCCTGTCACCGAATTGGGGCCTGCGGTTCCGGTCCCACCTCTCCCAGCAGCCGCCCCTGCAGGGGTCACGCCTCCCCGGCTCCCGTTCTCCGGAGTCGTGGTGGTCGGCCTGTCGTTCCTCCCCGCCGCACAGACTTTCTGTATGGGTGAATTCTGGGGGGGCTTGTGTGGTGGAACATTACGGGACATAATTCACTATGTTATAGAGAGTGTGTTGCACCACTGACCTGTTAGGTAGCGCACCTGTGGTTTGTTATCATTCTAGCTTGAGTAGGATGTAATGAAGTTGTTCCTACCTTTCTGTAAACCAATGGAAAATAAAGTGCCTCCGACTCCCATTCATCGGCTCTACAATACTCGAGTTTTTTTACTCAAGTACTTTTTGGGCATATTTGTACTTCACTTGATTATTTGCGTATAATTATACTTTATATGTCTACATTTCAGTGGCAAATATTGTCATTTTACTCCACTTCATTTATGTAACACTCACAGTTACAAGTTACTCTCTCCACATGCTGATATGGCTAAATGCAGTACTGTACAGTACTACTAATCCTCATAGTATCTAAGTATGTGTTCTACATGGAGAAACTACAATACTGAAATGCTCTTACTTATTAAAAAACAGGATAATAAAATAACTAAAATGAAACGAAAATATAATACTGTGAGAAGACTTTTGAAACTTGAACTACATTTAGCTGATAACGAGCCATTGTGCAAGATGACCAGTTTTACTTTTAAAGTCTATTTTGATGCTAATACTTTTGTACCTAAGTAAATATTTCAAATGTTGACTTTTTCTTTTACTGGAGTATGTTACGACTACAGTGTTTAACTCAAGAAAAGGATCTGAGTACTTCTTCCAACAATGGGTGTTTTTATGAAGAATTGCGTTTCCACCAGTATTTGAGATGGGATGCTTTTATTGTGAAGAACACTCTGACCGGAAGTACCGTGCTGCTGCTGCTGCTGACAGCGGAACTCGGGTCTGTATGAGTTTAGCTCTCTGACAGTGTTTTTACACCGTCTTGCCCTGCCATATATCCTCTGTATAAACCCCCTCTGCTGCACACAAAGGTAAGAACTTCCAAATCTGAACATATTTATATGCTGTCTCAAAGACTGACGTACTACTACCCCTGTTCCTGCTGTCATGCAGAACAGTTGAGCCAAGAGCTAGCTAACTGGAGCTGTCACATTTAAAACCTGTATTTGTTTATGCCATTTCGTGATGTTGAAATCTGGAAATAACTACTAGTAATTATTATTATTATTATTATTATTATTCTATGACTGTTCCTTTTGTCTGGTGTTTTCAAGCTACACTTTGAGGTCTGTTTAAGATTGAGCAAGCTAACGCTAACTGACGTCAGAGGGCCAGTTTATTTCAGTGCGCTGGAAATGGGAAGCTGAGGGAATATGAATGAACAGAGGACAGGAGGACTAACATCATTATGTTCAACAAAAGGGACGTATAACACCCAGAGGTGTAGGAATACTGTTACAAGTAAAAGTCCTGCATTAAAAAAATATTCCTCAAGTAAAAGTACAAAAGTATTATCATCAATATATAGTTAAAGTAGCGACAGTAAAAGTAGTCCATTTCAGAATAATATATATATGATATGTTTTATAATGATTGATCATGAAAGTGTTCTCAAAGCTGGTAAAGGTGCAGCTAGTTTGAATGACTTTGTATACTGCAGGGTAGCTTGTGAATTTACTCCAGGTGGAACTAAAGTCTGATTTAACACTTAACTAAAGGTATTAAATACATGTAGTGGAGTAAAAGTACACCATTTACCTCTGAATTGTAGTGGAGTAAAAGTACAAAGTACAAAAGTTCAAGTCCCTCAAAATTGTACTTGAGTATATTTACTTAGTTACTTTACACCAGTGATAAGCCCCAGTAGTGTAATATAGTGAAGCACATTTACTCAAATACTGTACACAGTAAGTATGTTCTTGGGGTACTAGTACAAATTCCTTCAAAATACACATGTTTTCACTGCCAAGCATTGGTGCTGGTTGTTAAGGGGGGTTATACCACACAGTAATGTCACTGTCATAAAATGACTTTGAACTTTGCAGCAGACCCTGCTCCTAAACTAACCTGTCAAAAATGTGGAAATTCAGGATGTGAGGGCTCGGTAAAGAGCTTCTTTTATCAGTTCACCTTTCACACAGATAATGTCTTTCAAGGAAATGACTTGCCTTTAAACCTAATGTTCTGATCTCTTATTCTGATTCATTTTCAACAAGCATGCAAAAGATTGTCCAACATTCAGAAACACATTTCCATTCTAGATTTTTAAAGATTGATTGGTTTAAAGTTTAATCAGATTACCAAAGGACATTTTCAGTTATGAAAGGTTTGTGAAATACGGGCCAAGGGTTCACTAACCCTCAGGGTAATCCATTTCCACGCATGCAGAGACCCGAGATTGTAGGCTAGGCCTTGTTAATAACCCTCTTTATGCCTTGTTTCATGTGATCCCTTCTTCTGTTTGTCAGTATAAGGCAGGGCTATTCAACTTCATTAGCAGGTGGGCCAAATAGGAAAATCACAGGGGGTTTGTGGGCCACACGATACTTTGTCAAGGAATCACTACAAATAACTCTTGCTTACATAGTGTTAATAGATACTAATACATTAAATGAACTAGTCAAGTGCATCCCTTTTTTTAACTTTAATTGTATCAACATAAATCATTACAGAAAGCAACCAGTCCATAAAAAAGTAGGAAAGCTTCGGGTTACAAGGCTTGACACAAAAGTGCAAAATGTTGCATCTTTAAAACTAAGGAGACATGAGGTTTTTTCCCCTAACAGTTCCATGTCCACTAATGTACAAAACGAGATGAATATAATAAAACAGTATTCATCACATTAACAGTAAGTAGCCCTGTGTATAATATCCTCAACACTTCCAAGCATACATAAGGTGCATTGAAGACAACACAAGTCCATAAAATCTAATACTAAATGCAAATAGAACATAGTAAAACAATAGCCATCAGACTCACAATAACATTCATATCTTGGAAACATTTTTAGAATTTTCGAAACAGTAAGTAGGCTATTTGAATGACCATAAAATGAATGACCATAAAAACAGATCTGCATACATACCATGCATCAGACTTCTGTCATGTTTAGCCTGTTTGAGTCAGTGAGATAAATTACACTGCCTTGATTTAGCTATTTCAGCATAGTTTGGCTCATAAGTGGTAAGAGCAATCCTGAGACACTCATGCAACTTTTCATTGGTCATGGAGCAACGTGCCCTTGTTTTGATGGCATTCATATGAGAAAAGCTAGACTCACAAGTATAGGTAGATCCAAACATTGTCAGTATACTGTAAGCAAGGCCACCTTCCTCATTGTGGGGTACTGATACTGGCTAACATGGTTAGACCAAAAGTCCACTACACCCTCAGACTGCAGGAGCTGTTTTAAAGCAAAGGAAGACTGCACATCAACCAGCTCCATCTGAAAGAGGCTCTCATCAATGCAAGATATGACCTCTTTTACTTTTACACAGAAGTCTGCATCAGGCTTGATGGAAAACGGTTCACGGGCAAACTGCAATACCTCAATTGGAATGCTGAAGCCTTGGAATCTGTCAGTAAAGTTATCAGTCAATTTTGTCATGAAGTCTGTCATGACTGGCGTTATGTTTGCTCCAGGTGATGTGGTCATAAATGCACAGAGTTTTGGGAAGTGCAGCAGTTTCGTTGTCATTAGGTCTGTTTTGAAGATCGTTAGCTTTGTCTTGAAGGCACAAAGTCTTTCAACCAAATCAGCGATAGACTTTTCGCGCCCCTGCAGTTCGCAATTCAAAGTGTTCAAGTGTCCAAAAATGTCACACAGAAAGTAAACATCTGCCATAAACTGTTCATCTAACATGCGCTCCAAGAGGTTTGTAGCTCGTTTGTGCTTACTCGTGCGAAGAAAAGACACAATCTCCTGGCGGAGAACGATCCAGGACCTTTCCTTTGCTGAGCCATCGGACATCGTTATGGACGAGTAAGTCCGTGTGTTCAGCAAACGTGTCAGCAAGCAGCTGACGGAACAGGCGGTGTTGTAGGCTGGAGGTTGAGCGAATGAAATTCACAATGTTCATGACAGTATCCATGGTGTTTTTCAAATCACTACTGAGCTTTGCACACAACACAGATTGATGAATAATACAGTGTAAATACTGCATGTGTGGGGCTATGGCAGATAGACGTGCCACCATCCCCTGCACTCTGCCGATCATAGCTGGAGCGCCATCAGTGACCAACAGGCACACTTTTTTTAAATTCAGTTGACGTTCGTTAAAAAACGAGACTATCTTTTGAAAGATAACCTCACCTGTAGTGTGTCCCTCCAACGGAATAAGCCCCAGAAGTTCTTCCCTAAAGGGAACTCCATCGAAAAACCTCACATAGATGCACAGCTGGGCCATGTCAGTACAGTCAGTTGATTCGTCCACAGCGATTGATATAAACTCTGCTTTTCGAAGGTTTTCCAAAAGCTTCCCCGACACATCCTTTGCAAGTAGTTCCACTCTGCGAAGTGTTGTTGTGTCTGAGAGCTGTACTTTTTTAATTGCTGAAGTGACGCTGTCTTTTACTTTTTGGTCAATAACCACTTCATCGATGACAGCAAGCATGCATTCTTTAACGGTCTCCGCGTCGGTAAAGGGCCTCTTCTGTCTGGCTAGTGTCCAGGCTACTCGCAGGGATGCTATCGTAGCTCTCTCTTGTTCCGTGCAAAAGCGACTAAAAGCCACTTGACTCCGTTCAAATGATGCTAGCAGTCCCTGTACTTTCCTTCTCCGTTCCTCTGAGCCCACGGGAAAACTGGCAGAAAACGAGCCGTGATTTGAATTGTAGTGTCGCTTTACGTTGTATTCTTTCATCATTTGTCAGTCCATTCTGGAATTGGCGATTTTCAGAATCAACTTTACGTTTCTTGGGCTTGGAGAGAGACATCTTGAAGCTGTTACTCGCTGTTACTCGCTGGCCCGCGAACCTAATGTGTAACGTGAGTTTGACTGAGCCAATGACAAGTGCGGACACAGTGCGGGTTTTTTTTTTTTTATGAACAGAGCGCGGCAGGCAAAATAACGGATTCAAAATAATTCAAATGAATGGAAAAACCAGCGTTTTCGCCGCATCGTCGGATTTACTGTGATCAGACATTAGTTTTATTTATGCTATTACACATATGCCATTTCGATTTGCAGGCAACCTCTTGTGGGCCAGAAAAAAGTTCTGAAGGGCCTGATTCGGCCCGTGGGCCGCTAGTTGAATAGGCCTGGTGTAAGGCATTAAACACATGCTTCTGTTGTTTCCATTTTTTAAATTTAGATTTGTACTGACGAACAGAGGAGGATGTCTGCGACTGTGAATAATCCTTTCCAACATATAGTTGAGCCCCTGGACCCCAAGGACCCAACACAGCAGTTTTACAATCTTTCCAAACTTGGAGATCCCAGATATGGTAACGGCAATTCTTTACTATATGCAGATATGAAACTTATTTACAGGGTCATTTGTATTTTTACTGATATAAATTCCAGCATGTGAATGTGTTCTTCAGAGCGTCTCCCGTTCTCCATCCGGGTCCTCCTGGAGTCTGCTGTCAGGAACTGTGATGAGTTCCTGGTGAAGAGCTCAGATGTGGAGAGCATCCTGAACTGGAAGCAAACCCAGACTCAAACTGTGGAGGTCCCGTTCAGACCGGCTCGAGTCATCCTGCAGGACTTCACGTGAGTGGACCCCCCTCTTATAATCAGTGTCAGTGATTTGCTCAAAAGGATTTGAGCAAAGGAACAAACATCGAACAAAGCTCTATTGTGTAGTAAGGCATAGAGCATTTCAAATTCTACACATATGCCTCAGAGTCACATGGAGTGTAACTTGTTCTGTGAAAACAGATTCTTACAGTATGTCTTATGATCTTCTGGAGGAACGATAACCCTGATGATGTCATAGTCATGTGATCAAGGTAATCTCAGTTTGGGCTCGGAGATTTAACATTTCTAATAGAAAGCCTGTTTGGATTATAAGAGACATGGTACTTTGTCAGTCAGAGAGGGTCTACCAGAAAGAGAACTATTGAGTTGCATTATGGGAAATGTTATATCCAATGTTTTTGCCCGTTGACCCGACCAGGGTCTTAAAGTCAGGTCACCCTAGCCTCGGCTGCTTCAATTTTGACCATTTTGGGGACATATCTTTATTGTATAAGGATACACAACTTAAAGGATAAGTCAGGTAATATTCTATATTTTCATTCTTTTGCAGCAAATCTTATTTACACAGCCAAACCAGCAATTAATGGACTTACTAACAATAATAGTGTGTATCGTAACCTGATGTGTTATAATCTGTGCTATAGCGCTCTGTTCAACACCTCAATGAGCCACTCTGTAGCGCATACATGTACATTGATTCTTTAAACACACACACTGTGGTTATAACCCAAATACAGCGTCCTGTTGCCCCAAACACTCAGTAGAACATCAAATATGTATTCTTCCGCCACTGAAAATAGTCTTCAATAAATTCGCAAATTCCATCTATTTGAAGTGACTTCTGATCAAAACTACAGTGAGATAAGAAATGCATTTTTAACAGCTTTAAAATGATCATATTAAAGAGCACAACAAGGGTATGGAATACAGAAAGCATTTAGAGAAATGCAAAATTGTGTCATTCTTATCCTTTACAATATCTATCATTTTAGCATTTTATGATACTGTGCAAATATAAGAACAAAAAGCTCAATGGTTAATGAACTACTGAATATGTGAATAAGAGGACCAGTGCAGACCATGGTGAAAGAATATGATGCTTTCAGGCCCATCCCTGATTTGACTGCTATGTTTCCTTAGTTAAGTCATGACCAAGTCTAAGTGATGACTTCTTTCTTTTCATCCCTCCTTGCAGTGGAGTTCCTGCTGTGGTGGACTTTGCTGCCATGCGGGACGCCGTGATGAAACTCGGCGGAGACCCAGAGAAGATTAATCCTGTCTGCCCTGCTGACCTGGTCATCGATCACTCCATCCAAGTGGACTTTAACAGGAAGTAAGACCAGGTTCATTATGCTCTTTTCACCACTGCACCACCTGCTCATAGTTCCTGTGTTATCATCCAAATAGCTACGATATCATAACTTCTGTGTCTTTCTTTACAGTTTCAATATACTGGGGTAGCGTTCAAACTGTTTTCTTAACACTATTCCTTAACCTCAATGAAAAAGATGTGAAGGAGAATTATCAGGACTTATGCAAAGACAACCACTTCCTAACAGAATCCGACTGCACTTATACTGCTCTACGTTCTTATGATGCGGAGGCAGATGTTATCATTTAGCATCTGCTGTGGGAAAACTACTATTTTCCGTAGATCGATTACTAAGAACCCGTCTAGATACTCTGCCTTGTAAGGACTTCATTACCGAGGTTTGAATTAAAATAAGAAATAGTTGCTCACGCTCTCTCTGTCCACTTGGGATAATTAACATAAAACCCAATTATTATGATTGAATTCAACCATTTTAATAAGTAATCTTATTATACACTACTGAACTAATTAGGAACAGTCAAAAGCAAAAACAAGTATTTGACTGCAACCAAGATTCATCAAGCTCCTTCCACCATCGTTCCATAGGTTTATAGATACTATATATATATACACAGGGGTGCACACAACTTTGTCAGTGAGGTACTCAGACGAGTACCTGGAGTCAGTGTTTGGTACTCCAACTTCTGGCTCCCCTCAAAGTTCCCATGAAGCCCTCTGTATCGCGAATGTCAGCGGGGGGGGGTAGTGGAGTGCAGAGCTTCGTGACCACAGAGCGTGTGAACGTTGTGATCAGCTGTTTTAGCGCAGTGCTGCTGTACAGACTGCTGCAGCCCTTTCTGTGCACACGGAGACCGACTCTGTCGTCCGGTGATCTAACCGCCTTCCGGAAAAGCTTCACAAGTACGTCGGTACGCAAATGCGCTTTGTGACACAAGTGACGGTACGCATTTCAGATTGTTGCCGCGCATGCGTACCTGCATACCACTTATGTGCACCCCTGTATGTACAGTATGTATATTCCGTTTTTTTTGGCTTTAACACACTATCTTTTTCCATTAGGTCTGATAGCCTCCAGAAAAACCAGGACTTGGAGTTTGACCGCAACAGAGAGAGATTTCAGTTCTTAAAGGTATGTCAAGAGAACCGTGTGGGTTCTACTTGTCTGATTATATAGTTGACTATGAACAGATGTTGTAACTTCTCTGCCTCTCCTCCCCAGTGGGGCTCTAAAGCCTTCAGGAACATGCGGATCATCCCTCCCGGTTCAGGGATTGTTCACCAGGTCAACCTGGAGTACTTGGCCAGGGTGGTGTTTAACTTTGATGGGTACTTCTACCCCGACAGCCTGGTGGGCACGGACTCCCACACCACCATGATTGATGGACTGGGAGTCCTGGGCTGGGGTAAGAAAAAGCATAGCATAAGATAAGTTATGATAGGATAAACCGTTATTGATGTCCTTTGGGAAATTCAAGTGTGAAGCCATCAAAAAAAAGGCAAGCATACGTTGGGATCTACTGTACAGAGAAATTTACTTAGGGCTCCCATAGCCTACTGCAATTCTCAAATTGCAGGAAGCGCATTATTTGTCCAGGCAAAAGATGTATAAATATTATTATTAATTAAGGATTGTGGTACCACATTGTATTTTATGGACTTATTAAAAAAAGATCCTCTTTAAAAAATCCAAACATACACATTGTAAATAAAGTTTTCAATGATAATAACAAAAATTATGCAAAAATTATAAATGGCTTCAAGATCATGAATCAATTCGCAATTGCAATATCAGTCATAACTATGGCAATGAGTTCTGTTTTCTGAATTGTCCAGGTGTTTTGAATAGCAGTCCTTGCAACAGCCAATAGATAAGCTCCTATCTGACGATAACAGCACAATAACCCAAACATCTTCCCTTGAGCGGATCATTAATGATGAGTTCCTAAATAATTCCTCATGAAATCCTCAGGTGTGGGTGGAATTGAGGCGGAGGCTGTAATGCTGGGTCAGCCAATCAGCATGGTACTTCCTGAGGTGGTGGGATACAAATTGTCCGGGACCCCAAACCAGTTCATAACCTCCACTGACATCGTCCTCACTGTCACTAAGGTAATTGCAATCCGTTTATAAAGACATGTTTGATTCTTTTCACAATCTGATATTTCCCTCCTCCTTGTGTTTTTAGCATCTCCGTCAGGTGGGTGTCGTTGGAAAGTTTGTGGAGTTTTTTGGCCCGGGTGTGTCTCAGCTGTCCATTGCTGACAGAGCCACCATCGCCAACATGTGTCCAGAGTACGGAGCCACGGCAGCCTTCTTCCCCGTGGACGAGGTCAGCGTTCAGTATCTGGAGCAGACCGGTGGGTGCTGAGCTGTTTAGTAAACACATGTGTACAAATAATGTAGCACGGTGACATTAAGTGAATGTTCTGAGGCACAAGTTTGACTGATTGACATTGACCTTTATATGTTTCCTTCAGCACTATCAATATACAAAAGATTAGATTTTTCACCCAAAGAAGCAGCTTTCACATTTCAAATGACCGGTGTACCAACAAATGCATAAAAGACAGTCTATAAGGAATGGGAATGTGACGTCCTGACTCGGGACTTGACTTGGACTTGAGCCTTCTGACTTGAGGTGACTTGATAATTTAACTCAGAGGTCTCCAACACGCCGATCGCGAGATACCGCTAGAAGAGCAGCCTCTCGTCGGGGAGAGCAGAATCTTCAGCCGCTCCAACTCTTGCTGTAAATCCATGTAGGCAGGGGCGGGACTTTATTTTGCTGGGCCACCATGCGGCCAATCATAAGCAAGGACACACTAGGATCATACCATTATGTGAAAGATGGGTGGGGAGCAGACGCTCCAAAGACAGCAGATGTAGTGGTACAGGCCAGCTACAGAGCGACGGGGAGTCTTTTTCCGACGCGCCTTCATTTAAATGCAAGCGCGAAGAAAATTAGCGAAAACCGAGAAAGGAAGCAGCATCTGGTTGCATTTCAATGATATTGGAGAAAGCAAAGCTGAGTGCAGGATTTGTAAAATGAAAATAACCTTCAGAGCAGGGTTTTCTTTTTGTAACCACTCAGGATTTATTGTCAGAGGTGGGAGAAGTTCAGATCTTGTACTTGAGTAAAAGTATCAGAGTGTAGGAATACTCGGTTACAATAAAAAGTCCTGCATTCAAAATGTTACAAGTAAAAGTACAAAAGTATTAGCATCAAAATATACTTAAAGTACCACCTGCAGAGGGATCTAGATTCAGGTGTTCTTTTCCCCATAGAGACCGCCTCGCTGCACATTATCCCTTGCATAAAGATAGATTGTGGGTCCCTTATAACATGTTGTACACAGTGGAAATAAACATTCTGGTCACCTCAACATCAGGGATCTTATACATTAAACTCCTTCTGAATCAAACCGTCACGGTAGCCTTACCTTACTGATCCCTCTTAAAAAAACACGTTACTTTACAAGCAGAGAGAAAATGGATTATTAAATTATTAATGTGACTAATAAAGAGCAGTTTGATTATTAAGTATTATTCTGTTGATGGATGTCATTACATTTGTTGAAAAGCACATAATGACTTGTTTAAGACTCGTTTTGTCAAAGTTTAGGACTTGGACTTGACTTGAACTTGCCAATCCTGACTTGAGACTTGACTCAGACTTGCAAAACAATGACTTGGTCGGTCCGTTCTTCTCTCAATGGACAGAACGGCTGCTGCTGTTCCCAGAATGCACAGCAGATCACATTCCTTCAGAGTTAGAGCAATGTTCAATTACTGACTTGAGATTTTGATTTAAAGGGATCTCTCATTTTTCAGATTGTTCAGCAGAACATTATTTTCAAAATGTTTTTTCCATTTGTGTTGTATTCAGGGCGAGACGCAGAGAAGCTGGCCTACATTACAAAGTACCTGAAGGCAGTGTCCATGTTCAGAGACTACAACAATGTCTCCCAGGATCCAGACTTCACCAGGGTCAGTCTCCTCATCAGTCTGTCTGTTTCAGTTATACAATGTTGAGCCCATAAAAGAAGGGTTGATTAAGACTTGCCTTCAAAAGGTAGACTTTGTGGTATTAATGGCCCAATGGCACAACAGAACACCTACAGACACTTTCTTATGTCATAGTAGAAAAAGATACCAGGGTGTCAAGATTTCCTTCAGTAGGCGACAATTTGTAACATGATACTAATAGCAAAAGATATAAAAAGTTTCTGCAGGCTCTTCCATTTCTTCATGAACCTTAAAATAGGCAGTAATTGCTACTAAAATGTCGTAAATCAATTTCCCAAAAGTCTTAAAAAAACTGATACATTGGGAAGGGTGGCGCAGTGGTCTGTGAATCTGATCATCAGATCAAGGGGGGTGCTGGGGAACTCCAGTTCGAAACCCGCTCCCGCCGCCACTGCGTCAGGCCTTTGTGTCCTTGGGCAAGACACTTCACCCTGTGGGTATTGTCCACAGTGTTGATACTAATGTGTACTTGTAAAAGCGCCTTGATGACTTTGAGGCGTGAAGATGTACGGTGTGGCGCAGTGTGCTGTGCAATGATCATCAGATCAAGGGGTGAAACCCGCCGCCGCTGCGTCTGTAAAGCCGTTGTGTTTGGGCAAGACACTTCACCTGAACTTGCTCCTGTGGATATTGTCCACAGTAATGACCATGATATGTGTAATGTGTATTTGTAAAGCTTTATTATAGCCTCTGGAAAAGTGCTATAATAAATGTAAGGAATTATTAATTATTATTAGTACAATTAATTGTAAATGTACAAAAAAAAAGTCATGTTTTACATTATAATTCACAAAGTGACGTATGTTGTTTGTTTTGTCAAATGTGTGTATTGTAAAGGTCCGGAATCTAAGATCTGAGTGGCATTGGAAAGCTTAAAAAGTCTTAAATGTCACTTGCTGTAGGAAACCTCAAAAAATATTGAGAATAAATTATACATTTAACAAAATACTGCAGACTGTTTGAAATGTAAAATGTATAAGCAGAATGTATTAACTACCATGCCTAATATATTCTGATATCTCTCCTGCTCTCAGATTGTGGAGTTGGACCTCACTACAGTGGTTCCATGCTGCAGCGGCCCCAAAAGACCTCAGGACAGAATTGCTGTGTCTGATATGAAATCAGACTTTGAATCCTGCCTGGGAGCCAAGGTAAGCAGCACTACGCTCTCATGCTGCACATTAGATAGCAGGCTGGCACCCTATCAAGGTGTTTTGATATGCCAAGGTATTAAGAATTAGTCAGAAATACTATCTATTAAACTGATCAGAGTAGAACAACAGACTGCAAGCCCTAAAGATAACGTGACAGCAGAGGTGGAAGAAGTATTCAGATGCTTTACTTCAGTAAAAGGACCAGTAAACTTTAACTTGAAATTAGGTATTTTACCAAAGTCCTTTATTCAAGATCTTACTTAACTAAAACTACTCAAGTATTATCAGCAAAATGTACTTACTAAAAAGTAAAAGTAATCGTTATGCAGAAAAATTGCCTTTATATGTGTATATACTTCTATCTATATATGTGACATTTCCAGATAGTAGTGTTTTACAAGTAGCATTTGACTGTTACTGTCAGTTCTGATTGACATTTTGTAAAATATTCAAATCATTTGACTTTTGTGACTCAAAGAGTTTGATTTTTAGAGATGCTTTTTGTTAAAAGTAGCTATAGCTGTCTGTCTACATAAATGTAGTACAGTACAATTACATTATTTCCCTTGGAAATGTAGTGGAGTAGAAGTATAAAGTAGCATAAAATGGAAATACTCAAGTAAAGTACAAGAACCTCAAAATGTTGAGTCTTCTTTCAACCAGGCAGCTTATTAGCTACATGTATCACAAAGTGTGTGTCACTCTGTTCAGCAGGTTTCCTGTTGAGGACCATGAGCTCAGCTATTCAACGTTTTTTTTTGTTGTTTTTCTAATAAAATACCTTTTTTACCTTATTCCTAGTGAGATGTCAGGAACTTATGAAGGAATGAAAAATGAAATATAGTCCAAGCCTTTATTGAAGAATGAAGGATTCGGACGTTTATTTCTTACGTATTTATTTAAAAAGGACCATGCATACATTAATCTCAGAAAAGAGAAGGGATATGTAACTCAACTGCTGTTACTCTCAGTTCATTGGTAGCCCCTCACAGGTAACTCATTTCCTGTTGGTGTGTGTCATTTCCAGCAAGGCTTCAAGGGTTTCCAGATTCCTCCGGAGCGTCACAGCACTGCTGTCCCCTTCCAGTTTAATGACAAAGATTATACATTAAACCACGGCTCTGTGGTCATCGCTGCTATCACCAGCTGCACCAACACCAGCAACCCCTCCGTCATGCTGGGGGCAGGTGGGTCTATATTGGATTATAGTGGGCTTTAAAGATAGTCTTGGTGAAGACTGTCATTGGACAAATGTATACAATATAAATCCTCTTCTTTCAGGGCTCCTTGCAAAGAAAGCAATAGAGTGTGGCTTGAGTGTGAAGCCGTATATAAAGACAAGCCTGTCCCCCGGCAGCGGGGTGGTCACCTACTACCTGAAGGAGAGCGGAGTGATGGACTACCTCTTTCAGCTGGGGTAAGATCCACATGTTGGACACATAGGGTGCGTCTCACTTCGGTTATTTTTCATTTCATCGCTCCTCGGTCTCGGTCTCACCGGAATTTGATTTGTCTGCGCCATCTTGAGTAGCGCCCCAGTGGACTTATTTTTGCCGGAGGATCGAGGAGTGATAACGGAGGAGCGATAACCGAGGAACTACCAGACCATCCTCCATTGAAATCCTCAGACACTCGCCCCGCCCCCTTACTGTGTATCGCTCACTGATTGGATGATGCATTGCATGCATTGACCTGGCTGCTGTCAGACAATCAGCTGTGCGGCGTCATCACGAACGGACGTGGCTTCACGTGACGCTCCGGAGGAAACGACGTCCCATTGCTCTCAAAACTCATTTCCCTGCTTCTCGTGGTTTCCTTGCATCTCTCCATGCTTCCCTGGTGGAAGGGACTAGTCACAGGGAAACGACGCAAGTGAGGGACGCAAGGAATCCATTTAACCGAAGTGAGATGCACCCGTAGAAACATGTTGTGTCCATCATGTTAGTTGATTATTTATATTAGAGAACATCAGTTTGACACTAATCAACACAACTCAAGATCTTAGCTTTTTTCTTTACCTTTTCAACTGAATTTGCACTGAGGTCATGGATATAGCTCATAAACACATAGATTACATCTGCATGTACTTTAGACAATCATACGTATATACACACATCATTTCCCAAATGATCCTTGCTGTCACTATCTGAGACTGAAATGCAACTTAAACCTTTGGAAATATGTGAGCCAATTGGTAAAAGGAAGTTGCAATAGAAAATAAGGAACATATGTTTGCTATGATTTAAATACTTAATCACCAGTACTTTTCCAACAGTAAAATCAGTGTTTAAAAAGCAAATGTACAGTAAGGGATCAGACGTGTCAACATCTAAACTGGTGTCAGCTTCACAAATCACTTACTGGTTTATTTGAACTAAATAATGAACTATTATGTAGTGTATAAACATCTTCAGTCACTGTATAAGTAATATTACACCACCTTTTTAAATAAATGTCCTGTTGTATTATGTACATTATTTTGAGACACTGTTTACAGATACTGGCTATCTAGTAAAGAGAGTTAAATATCTAGAAAAAGTAAGGTCCTTATTGATATTTATGGAAATGTTGGATTTGCAGGAATTTAGCACAAAGCTGTCCTGCTCACTGATATGCAGCATGGCCTGCTGAGTGTACACTGAGATATTAAAGAGTTACCACAATAAAAGTGCTAAAAGTGTATGAGAGCTTTCTGTATGCACTAAATCACCATTAAAATGTAGTTCTATTATTATTAAGGCTGCTTGATACAGTCAAATAGGGATATCTGATGGATTCTCTTTTGTTTTGCATTTGTGTTTATTCAAAGACCATGATGGAACCAGGTCTCACAGCTGTCATTATTAATATACTCAGTAAATATTACCTCCATAAAATTACAGTTGACAGGTGGTCATGGCACTTGAAGTTAGCGTGAAGTTATTTAAAGATAATTTTCTAACCTTTGAAACCCTCATTTTGTGTTTCCTGATAGCTTTGAGGTTGTTGGCTATGGTTGCATGACCTGTATAGGCAACAGTGGGCCGCTCCCAGAGCCGGTGGTGGAGGCCATTACCCAGGTACCCCGGGCTGTTTCAACATCGCTGCTGTGTCATTATGTCAAAGCTCTCATTAGCTCCTTTTCCTCTCATTGTTTCTCTTCCCACCATTCCTCACCCACCTCATTTTATTTTTGTTTTCCTTTTTCCTGATCTGCCTGATCTTCTCTTCCTCATTTTAAAAGCTATGTACATAAACAATAATACATAAACAAAATGATATCCTCCCAACATTTAAGGTTTGTATTTGTTTCAGGGTGATCTGGTGGCTTCGGGCGTCCTATCAGGAAACAGAAACTTTGAAGGCAGAGTCCACCCCAACACCAGAGCCAACTACCTGGCTTCCCCCCCGCTCGTCATCGCCTACGCTATAGCCGGCACTGTGAGGATAGACTTTGATAAAGAGCCAATTGGTGAGAAGTTAGATTTGGAAAGTAACTGCAAAAAGAGAAACAATTAAGTTAAAAAACTCACTTCATTACTCCTCACACATTGAAAATAAATATGAGTCATCAGTTCAATGGATAAGCGAACTGTCAGCAGTCAGGTGGCATTGTGGGTAATGTGGTGCCAGGATTTGACAAGGGAGAGAAGGAATGTGTGGAAGAGAATATTTCTGATACTGCTGCTTTGTTTATTACCTTCTTTATATTCATTCAAAACATGTATTGTGTGTCTGGCGATGTTAAAAGACTGTAATGGCAAATCAGCGCAGGGCTCTTTTGATAACTTTTATTTTCCATTCCTTCTTTATCAATTTGAATAACTCAGCGTAGCTAGTCTTTACAGTGGCCGTAAGACACGAGCTATAGATCAATCTCTTATCTGTAATCATACACAACCTATTTATAGATCCATTTATAATTAATGGTAGCTTTGGGAAAATTTAAACAGATTGGGAATGACGTTCTGGAACTGGAGACTTTGGACTTTGAATGTGACACTGACTCATAAGGATGAAACATGTTCAAGCACAAAGGACTAGATGTGTCAATCCCTTCAGTTTTTACTCAGGCCCTTACAGGGAAATGTTGATTTACTTTCTCTGCCTTCATTGCATCTCAGAAGACAGCTCATTCAAAAATAATTACGGTGGAAACAGAATGAACGGAGGTTGTTGTGTGGATTTGCTGTTGGTGTTTGGCCGTGTGTGCAGCGTGCGCCTGGGAGCTTTGGACAGGTTGGCAGACCTGCTGGATCAACAGTATTGTTATAATCAGGGGTGACATTCGCGATGGTCTGATGCTTCGATTAATTTTAAACAGAAAGTTCAACAAAAGGATACCCAACATTTTTAATTTTTATCATTTACATATTGAATTGTTCTCTCTTAGTAAGATCCGAGACTGCCAAGGCACACCAGGGGGATAGGGTTAATTTGCCATATCCTTTCTGGACAAAAATCTCTTACTTTTTTGTAAAAGTCCTCCTTATCTTCTTGTACTTTCAAAAGTCTATCATAAGTCTAATCGATAGATTTATGATCGATAGATTTATGATTCGAAAATGATAAAAGTAGGGTAGGCATGTGGATATTATCCGGCTGAACAAAACGTGCATTTATCTAACAGGTACGTTTCCCACAGAACTTATTTCGAGCTATTTTCTAAAATCCTATATAGAAATCTCATTGCTTTTTTGTGGAGGGAACCCATGCGCAGCTTACCTCCGGGTTTTAGGACGCATCTCTCGTCTCCTCTTCACACACCACACTTTTCGCGGCACACATACTTACAGCCAATCAGCTCTGAATTATGTGAGATGACGTATGGTGGGGATGGCAGCTCAGTGCCCCTATGGTTATTATTTATTTGCCACACACATTAAATAGGAAAATACTCTGAGCATGCGCAGTGTAGTTTTTACAGTCACTGTTCACTTAGACCAGGGGTCGGCAACCCGTGGCCCACGGGCCGCATGCGGCCCTTTAAGCCCTCTGCTCTGGCTCCCTTGAGCTTAGACAAGAAGGATATCAAATAAAAGTATTTGTAGGACTATTTATATTTTGTTGCACGGTTGAAAATGTTTCGTATTTTGAGGTGATACTTAGTCCTACAAATACTTTTATTTGATATCCTTCTTGTCTAAGCTCAAGGGNGAGATCTAAAGATCTCTTTTTCAAGGGTGACCTGCAGGACATTAGTTACACATGTAACATAAAAACAACAGAACAACAATAAGGATGACATACATAATGTACAGGGTACAAATGCATAAATAAATAAATGTTAACTAGGTAAAATAAGATATAAATGAACAACAAAAATAAAATACGTTACATTTATTTATTATTGGCTATGGTAGGTTATTGGCTATGTACACATACTTATTTGATTATTAAAATGTAAACCGATCTTTTTCATATGGGTGTTTTAAATCTAGTCTCTAGTAATTCTGCTCAAAGTGCACCAGTTTGAAGCATTTTACTTTAAAATGTTAAAAAACGGACCCCCCCTAGAGGATGTGACGTCCACCCCCCAATTAAAACATGTGCATACAATAATGAATACATTTGAAACCTTGTTTATGTATATAACCAACATGTCAATATGTTTCAGTTGTTGTAGTGTATTGGTCTTTTGTAGATATTTTTCATTTATTCTTTAAATATGCTATTGTGTATTGCTTGGAAGGGCGGGGGGGTGACCAAATCATAATCTCGCCTAGGGCACCAAAATGTCTAAGGCCGGCCCTGCGTATACGGCCCGGAGGCTGGAGGTTGCAAAGGGTTGCAAAACCCCTGGTTTAGATGTAACTGGAAACAACCATTATGACCTTTAAAAGTGATAACTACCTCTTAGTTTTATTTTGAAACTCACAATCGGAACCCCGGCATTAACGCTTATGTAACTTGATGCGAGTACCTGTCAAACAGTCTCCGGTTCTCCCCGGTGCTTTGCCGAAACGCCGGTCGGCTTCAGCCTCACAGGGACTCACGGCAGTCGTTGTCCCAACTATCACCCGTGACCCGGGGAATATTTAAACGGGACCTCACGGTAAAGGACCGAGCACCGGCACACAAAGCGTTTGGTTTTAACCCCGGGGGATTTATTCCCCTCCGCAGCGGACTGCATTGCAACGGACCGGAGCCGTATGAAATGAAAGTCGGACGTGGATCCAGGCTGACGGAACAACAGGAGAAGAGGAGCCTGTATTTGGGGGTTGAATGCCAGTCTGACCTACATACCGCAGAACTGAATGGACCCTCCTTCAGGACCTCTCTGCTGTGTGGAATCATCTTGCTGACTGACGTCCTGTGTAACCTTGTAACACAGTAATAAGTGACCTTCATTTTTATTTGCTGCTGCAGATCTGTCCAAAGCAAGACATGTCAATGTGGATGTGACTGAAGAAGGAGATGCAAACCATGCCTTATGCTAAGAAGGGAACATGATATAAACAGCATGAATATCATTGCATGCTGACGTTTTTATAGGGCTCTAGGGTCAAGAGGAAGCGAAACATATCAAAGCAGTTGGCCTGAGAATTCTCTTTGCTGAACTCTGCCCTGCCGTTTTCTCACGGGACACCGCTAGAATATACACCATATCTTCTATTTGGATAAGCCTACAGCTCATGGGGCCCACAGTGGAGCTGGGGTCAAAGGTCGACAGAAGAGCAGGGCTGAAATGTCTTTCAAACCAGAGCAGCCGGCAGATGCCTTATCCACACGTAAGCATGGTGATCATTAACTGCTGTAATCAGCCGACAGTTAAGCAATAAAACCTTCAGTGCTGTGCAGGAAAGCACCGATTAAATTAAACACTTTCTGCTGTCAGAGACATTAACTGTTGCCAGTATGCTTCTAAACTGTGGCCAGTCAATGCCTCTTCTGAGGCACACGGATGTGCCATCTCGGGTCAAAGAAAACTTCATCTTGACCGGCTACCGCTTCCCAAACTACAGCGTGAAGGATTGCTTACTGTCAGCATTCAGGCCTACCAATGAGACAGGCAACTTCTGGACACACTTCCTGCCAGTTTTTATCTTTGCATATTATTTCGTGGAGGTATTTGGTTGGGAAGGTGCGCCACATGCCGACTCCCCGTTCTTCTATCCACTGTGGAACTACTTTATTGGGGTCTTCTGTCTGTTAATGGCTAGCAGCATGGCCCACCTGCTCAACTCAATGTCTCTGGTGGTGAGGGAAGTCTGCTTCTTTGTGGATTACGGCACCATCAGTTCCTACACAGTTGGCTCGTCTTTGGCGTACTACTACTACATCCACCCTCGAGCAGGTATAGTGGAGACAGGAGGCAACAATGGCTCCCAAACGGACTTGAAAGAGGAGCCTGCAGGCTCTCTATCCTATGCAATCCCAGACTTCTGTGTGTTTTTTGAGAGCTTCTACATCCCTTCTGCATGTCTTGTCGCGATCATTTGCGTCTTGTCTTGCTGCAATACTCGACAGAGGTGGAGGCGGCATCGATACCTCATCCGAACCTTCGTTTTCCTCCTGCCGTTCCTCGTCTCTTCCACGCCCATTTTCTACCGCCTCCTCACCAGATCACCTTACTCCACCACCTCCTCGTCCTTTGCGGCTTCCACCTCTACAGCCGGCTTCTTCTATCGCCACTGCTTCTGGCTGCTGGTCTCAGCGGTGTTCAACATCAGTAAGATCCCCGAGCGCATGGCCCCGGGGCGCTTCGACATCTGGGGCCACAGCCACCAGTGGTTCCACTGCTGCACCTTTCTGTCCATCCTGGACGAGCTCCACCTGATCAAGGCCGAGGTGAAGGCCATCCTGCTCAGCCCGACTCTGCTGCTGCCCCCTGCCACCCTCGCCCCCCTACCTGGACCTACCATTACTTCAACCTATGGGGTGATGCTCCTCCTCCAGACTACCATCATCTCCATCATCGTGTGGTTCTCCTGGCATGCCAACTGCATTTTCGGACCCGAGAGAGACAAGCTAGCAAAGGAACACCCCAGGGAACATCTCAAATGCCACTGAACATTTCCTGTCCTGAATTTAAATCCCTCATATGTTCCAACCCCTTTAAGAGTGATTTTCAGGCTTTAATAGACAGAAATCAGGGACAACGAGAGATGAGAGGATTATATTCTGAGCTCACCACATGGTGGCTGTCTGGTTGAGTGGATATTGAAGGACGTTGCCAGTTCTTTCCCCTGAGCTGCTCCTGCATGTTCCAACAGGATGTGTGAGCAGTGGCGATAATGACTACCCCTAGGGAGTGCACTGTACACAGGAAAGGTGTTGTACCCAGCAGAACATTTTCCAAATAACACTTGGTAATGTGGTTTAAATGTCATTTACAGAAGTTGCTTATGTGCAGTCCAGTAGTTCCTCCTGTTCCACTTCCCCTAACCTTGAACAGCATATTTCAAGAAGGCCTGCACTATGGTTGCAGTTTAACCCGCTGTTATACATTGTATTAGGCTCAATTGGCTTCTGGTGACCACACCTTCTCTTCCTCTTCCTTCCATGAACGCTCGCACGCACTCTCATTTCCTCTCCTTTCCTCTCCTTTCAAGTGACCCTTGCAGCAGGAAGCGCGGTGGCCTTGATGACGCAACAGAAATAACTGAGAGCTTATATCAGTCTTACAGTAAAGCACTTTCAAACCCGCTTTGTCATTAAGAAGCCATGCTCGCTTTTAACTTTAAAGAACGTGTATAATTACTGAAGCAGGAAATTATGTCTTGCTGATGTGTTTTGTTTATTTAAATGTGTAGTGTTTATATAATGCGATGACTATATAATAGATGATGTTCAAACGTGTGTTCTTGTTCAGATTAAATGCCATGTCAATCTGAATTGTCAGTATAAAAGCGTTCTCGACCTGGTACTCAATCTGAACATTCACATGTCTAACATTCAAAAAGATTTCTAAGCAGTAGCTCCATTTCAAACGCCTGCTTTGAGATATTTTTGGACAACGTAAGCAGAGATTTCTTTTTATGTCGTCTAATGACTGCAGCCTTTCTGAGCAGAAGCCATATTGGAACAGTGACAGTCCTACATCAGGAACTTCCTGGTTGGATCTGCACTCGACAGTTAGATCAGGTAAATAACAGTTTGCACATTTCATTTATTACGAAAACCTTCGAGTCAAAGAGCTAAGCATCTGTTTTCCTACAAATATTGTATACACCAGGCAATCTTTAAAAAACCCAGTCTTTTTTTGTATTTTCTGAATATATTTTAGTGACTCTTCTTTTTAGTTATGCACCCAATTAAAAAGTAAAAATGTCCTTGCTCAATTCGATAACCAAAATTGAAAGTTAATTCACAGGTTAGGGCTGCTCAATTCATCGTATTTTAATCGCAATTACGATTTTGGCTTGCAACGATTATGAAAACAACATAATCGAAATAAAACGATTATTTTTTTATTTTATTTGTTTTTCAGTTGAATTATGCTTAAAGTTCAGGGTAATCAACTGTTAAAAACATGCTGTTCAATTATTTATTTATTTCAATAAATGGATGTTTTCAAAGTAAATGGATAATTGTTTTTAATAATCGTGATATCAATTATTGACCCAAATAATCGAGATTATCATTTTTGCCATAATCGAGCAGCCCTAGGTTAAATCAATGTTGTGTTTTTATTGTTTCATACAAAAATATATACATTTTTAGTTTGGTTGCTATATTAATTATCCTGATTGAAAAAACAGTCATCGAACAATGTCTTCAGAACAACATTAAATGTTTTTAGGGCTATCTGGGTTTTTAGAGATGATGGAGTATTTATCGCCTGAACAGAATGAATGCTTCATGTGTTCTGCATTATGGGACACATCTCTCTCTTTATCAGCTTCAGCTGCATGAAGCATGTGAGCCGTCTGCTGTAGGATGATCTCCTGCCTGCTAACGTTAGATACAACCTGGCTGAACACCCTGTAGACTGCTTCTGTCTTTATAGAGTCCTGCTGGGTTTGGTTGTTTAAAATATTTTTTGCAAATATCTTTGACTGTGCCAATTGTCTATGTCCATGTGTTTCAAGTAGAGGCACAGGGTTCGGAGAGAAGGTGAATTATTGGTCAGTAACAGATCAAAAGTACAGCCTTAAGGCCTGTGCAGTTTCTAATGTCTCAGCCAAAAAGAAAAATGTCCGAACCGTCGTCAATGATGGCCGTTGGATTTGGTCTGACACACTGAAGTGTGTTTTCTGGCTCATCTTTTTGGGCGTTTTAATTTCTGCTGGGTCACTTAGTGGCATGTTCGATTGCATTCCGTAAATGTGTTTTGTCTTTAACAAAATACATGGTTGAGGGTCCATGAAAAAGTTCTGTGTTTACCTGAGCCTGACGATGAAGGAAGAGGAAATTGGACTTGAATGCAGAATTACCTTAAGGTCATTTCTTTGTTCAGAGTTTATTTTGCACTGAAAATGTTACATGAGCATTAGTGGGATGAAGATGTGTCGTCTGTGTGTTTTCATGCTGTTCTGTCCTCTGTGATTAGGGAGGGAATTCCATCTAAAGTAGACTTGCATGTTACGTTTACATGTTGATAACTCATGTTGATCACTGTCTAATTTCAGAAATATGATTAACGCTGTTTAAGTTGTTCTCATATATACCGCTGTGTTCCCGTGAACAATGTTTAGAGATGATTATGTTTATTATGTACGGCACTGGAATGAGTACATTTGATAATCATGCTGTTATAGTGCACTTTAAATCTAGCAAGATGTTCCTTTAAGGGTGGACCACTGTATTATTCATTACATTTCAGGTTTAGACTCTTTCAAAGAGTAGTCAGAGAATCATCAGATTATGATGCGTCCGATGTTTCTACCTCAATAGAGCATGTGTTGAAGAACCATCGTCCGTCATCAGACCTGAACCTGTTGTACTGCTGTCTCTCACCCAGTCATGTACTCAGGGGGACTGAGGAACCACTAACACAATATCTACACATTTCAAGGATCAAGTAGGGAGAGAGGATATTTATAGAATCTGCTAATGCTGACAAACCCTCCTCCAGTATGGAAATTGATGTATCAAATAGCTCTAATTTGGATGATTTTATTGAATAAATTATGCGAAAAAGTTGCAATCATTGTGCCAATGTATTCATTTACTGTTTATATGACACTTCATATGGCTCTACACGATCCTTTGACCTTTCATATAGGTCATTTGTATCAAAAAGTTGATTTGTAAATGGAAGTATTTATATATTTAATGTGTATTATTAAAAAAATGTTTTAAAGTAATCAATCAAAAGAAAAAAAATCCAAATCAATGAGTCACATGTAAAAAGTGAATAATTTCAAATATTTTGAAGTCAGGTCAAATAAAACCCTCCTACCAAGTACAACATTTAAGATGATGAACACATAATGAACCAATCATTTAAATACAATAATTTATAACATAAAATAAAAATATCTGGCTCTTTAATGTCCCATTGTGCAATGACGAGGACTTTTACTTTTTTGATGCTTAAAGTATGTTTTGATGCTAATACTTAAGTAGAACTTTGAAACACTTTTACTTGTAAATGAGTATTTTCACACTTTAATATTTGTACTTTTACTTAAGTAAATAATCTTGAGTACTAATCTGACTATTTGTGGGATTGACAAAAAAAACACGATTCCCCTTTCTAGGCTTTATGCTAAACTAGGCTATGACTAAAAATAGACTACACAGGATATTTTGTTTTATCTTAAGCGCTCGGCTCTCAGCACTTAAAGGGTTAAGTGAACTGAAAGGTTTGAATCATTCAAATGTGTTTCAATGAGTGCAACACAACCTCAGCTATGTTCATTTCTCCTGGAGCATGTGCTCATGCTGTGTGTGTGCTGGGCCTCGGCTGGGTCATGCGTGTGGGAAACACGTGCAGCTGCTTTTATGTCAAAGTCCACTCCTCCCCCACCAGCTTTTTTCCATCCCCGTCTGTTTGAGACAGAACAGGAACCAGAGAGGAGACCCTGATCAATGGCCGTCCTCTCACAGTGTCTTCTAGTAATCCAACAAGAGTACATGTAATTCAGTCTGAGTGGAAAGTGATTACAAATGAAAGAGAAGTGCCGGAGGAGTATGATGAAAGTGTCAGATAACACCTTTTTTTCTGCTGGAGGATTAAGTTCTAACATGAGTCAGCGTTTTTGCACTTCCTGTTAACATTTGCTTTTTACGGCTGTTGACATCATTTGGGGGCTTTTTGAGGGATGCTAACAGGAAGTAGTGTCTCCACAGTCAGCCCAATTTGATTTGCCTGTATTTTCTTATACGTTGAAAGGATTTGCCAAATATATGTTGAAGGTAGTTAAGAATACGGATATTGTATCATTTGTTAAACTCTCACAATATTAATATTTATAGTGAAAACAGTATATTGTAATTAGGACCATTAACAGAACACATAACTGAAGTTAATGGACTAGTATGAGAGTCATGGCTCTAACAATGAATGAAAGCCATGCTGCGATGAATTTAAATATTTCCTTGTGATGTGTTGGAAACATTATAATAGCATTCAGGTTAGATTTCTTTTAACTTCATGGGAAATGTAAGCAGCAAAAACAGGATTCAAGGGATCTTCAAATCCCTCACTTATAATCTGTAGGTGTCAACACGCTCAGTACATCTTTGTTTGTTTGTTGTTCGCAAAGCGACTTTGAGTATCTAGAAAAGCACTATATCAATTAAATGTGTTATTATTATTATGGCTAGTAAAATGAGCAGCTGGACCAGACATAAAGTGTTCCACTTTGAAAGTATGAAGGTAACTTTTCCACAACGCTTTGTTTCTTTAATTTGTGTCACTTTGAACATTTGTGCTGGAGATAAACTCTATAACCCTAAGTGACAGCAGAGTACCAACAGGCAGCAGAATATTTATGACATGTCAGAGCGAGCTTTGGGGACTATTTAAGGCTCATATTCTCCAGTGTATTAAAGACAGAAAAGGAAGGAAACTAAAACCCTTATAGTCTTGTAGTAGTGTTTGGAGTTCAGAGCAGGGCCGAGCGACTGCAGAGGACCAGCGTCACAAACTGGCTCCACACATTATATTGGTCCCTTCTACAAATAAACACAATTCAAATACAAGCTTATTAATGACTTGAAAATAACCACAAATGAAAATTAAATTTTATTCAGTTTTTCAGTAATCTGTGGCTTAATGCAATCAGTTTAGGTTGAATCAACATGGAGCATGGTTTTGACAGTCTTCTTAATCAAATCATCATTGTTGTAAGAAGACACAAACATATTAAATCAAGGCGATCACATGACGTTATTAAGGCAGATTCCCAATGACGTTTGGAATGTCTGAAGAACAAACAGGCATGATTTCTGTACAGTTATCTGAGACAGACAGAAAGAGAAACCATGAACATATTTGTGAATAATCCGAAAACATCAAGAGGGTAGAATGAAGCAAAAAACAATGTGTAATGTGAGGTTATTACTGTAATATAGTACAGCTGCAGGATCAGGTGACTATTTCAAACTGTTTTTAATAATCTATTTAAAACATTTTTCACACCAGAATTGCAGCAATTGCTGTTTCAAGCCTCTCAGGTCCTGTACTGTTATCTGTTGTTTTTTAGAACATATTTAGATTTCCTTAGGTTTGAATTTTTCACAATTTCTTGACATTTTATAACATTTAATTAAGGGAAATAATCTGCACATTAATCAATAAAGAGGAATAATGGTTAGCTTCAGACTTCAGCATGTTTACCTGGAGGAGTAACCATGACGATATTTAACTCACTCAAGTCACACTTAATTTCTTCCTTTAGGATTTTATACGTGAAATAATCATAGTCAATAATATGATATTATCATCAACATACAAACAACATCACTACTTCCTCCATGCAGTGGCTTTTCCTGCAGCTTTGAACGCATCACAACATCTTCTTCATTACAGTCAAGAAAATATATTATTGAATCTCATAATGGTCCTTGTTTTTAAAAGAGAATTCTGGATGACTAACACATGGGTCTTTAGTGACTGTTATCTGTTCAGAGCTGGGCCTGGCTGTGGGTGGAGATGGAACAGCTGAAGAAGAGTTATGGGGTTTAAGGTTTCTGTTTATATTCAGACAACTTTCAGGAACAGTTTGAAACCTGTTGACATTATACTGCCACCTGCTGAACAGTGTAGAACCTCAGCTGGAACATGTCAAATGTCACGTTTTCACCCCTTAGAGCTAACAGCGGCACACCAACCAGACCTACCAGACATGGCAGTTTGATAAAGTGCTGGCACTGTTTCCCTTGAAGGATTTAAGCTGCTGCTGCGTGAAGGTGAAGCACTACCTCACTGGCTACATGTGATGGAAGCTGTGCTACTACAAGCTGAGGCCACTGTGATTGGCTGTGTGGGTTTTTTTTGCAGTAACAGACAAATACATCTCCACTGCTCACTGCACCCCCCAGGCATTATCACAGTTAATTCAACTTTGTATACATAATAAAATATTGGCTAATGAAAAGAAGCTAGACCAAAAAACGTAAACACAGTACTATGGGGATATAATCAATCTCTCCTGGATGACGGATAACCTTTGAACTGTCAATTTGGAGTACTGACTTCACTGCTCGCTACATGCTGCTGTCGTACCAAAGCATGTAGGGCCATAATTAGTTTTACCTCGCTCTAGTGAGTAGCAACTTCATGCTATCATAAATGAAGACCAAACGTACACAAACAAGACTAATGTTGGAACAATCTGGAATAATCTTTTGACACAACCATACACCCTCTCAGATAACTCTTTAAATCATCTTCTATAGCATATCTTTAGTTAATATACACATCTAAAATATACATTTCCTCAAAAATGAGAACATTGTGACATCTGTTTTCTGGCTGTACATTAGTTCTCTGCACCAACATGGCCAATGACTGGATTATTTTTGGACATAATTCTTCTGTAAACCATTGGATGAACTCATAACAGTGATGCAGTGTTGGACGGTAGTTAGGAATTAGAAAAATAACACATGCTGCTCTCGCTGTGCGCTGTACTGTACTTGGCATGTTAGTTTTCAGACATCTTGCGGATCATGTAGTTGAGGATGCCTCCGTGGTGGAAGTAGGCCAGCTCCACGTCCGTGTCGAACCTCATCCTCACTTGGAACGTCTTCCCTGTGTCCAGCTGAGGGACAGAGACAGGCCACATTCAGTATTACCTCAACATTGCAGTTATGTTCCAGTCCTAGAGAGAGTGTGTTTACCTTCACGTCCACGAGCATCCTGGGAGTGAGCAGCTCGGGGATGAGGATGGTGTAGCGCTCCCTGCCGCTCAGACCCAGGCTCTCAGCGCTGTCTCCTGCCAGATACTCCAGAGGAATCACCCCCATCCCCACCAGGTTACTGCGGTGGATCCGCTCATAGCTCTCCGCCACCACCGCCTTAATACCCTACAACAAAAATAAATGGTTCATAATCAACCCTTTAAAACACTTCTTTCACTGCTTTCTCTTAAAAGAACGCATTCATTCTTTTTCTTCAAATGGTTACAGAGAAGTGATCCTCTTCACCTGCAGGAAGGGGCCCTTAGCGGCCCAGTCTCTGGAGCTCCCGGAGCCGTACTCCTTCCCTGCCAGAATCACCAGAGGCACACCGGACTGAATGTATCTCTCTGCAGCATCAAACACATCCATCTGGACAATAGGGACAACATGCAGGAGTTAGTCCATGTAACATTCTCAGTAGCCTAGATGGTGTTAAGTTACTCGTTAACACAAAAGCATTTTCCTGATAGTTGTTACAGAGTTAAAGAGAGGCTTGCTAACCGTTTCCTCTGTGGGCAGGTGAATGGTCTTCGGTGCCTGCTTATTAAGGAACTTGTTGAAGAGGCGGATGTTGGCGAACGTCCCTCTGGCCATGACGGCATCGTTCCCTCGACGGGACCCGTACGAGTTGTAGTCACGGGCGCTCAAACTGTGTGAAGAAAAGTGTGAAAGGAAAAGCTTTCATTGACAGTTTGGATACATAATTCTCATTTTAGTTACATTTGTATTTTTTCCTGTGGTTTTGAGGAGGATTCGATGCAAAAGTTTGAATTATATTGGTTTTTTTCTGCTTTAGTCGACAAACAACATAATAACTGTAATCTCAGAGATAAAGCATCCTTAAAACACCTCGCAACATACACAAACTCCTGTTCAGTGGATAATAATGAAACGTACTGAAGTCATTGTGCCGTGATCGTATGACATGAGGTGAAAGTCAGACAGATGCTGCAGATTTTGCTCCTAGGTTGTTTTCATAGTTTCAAGAATGATTGGCCTTTAATGGGACTTTTTTTGAAGCCCACATGACTCACACATTGAACCAAAAGAGAAAACCTTAGAGATTTCTCTTCTTTTCTAAAGTGGTGAGGTGACCCACCCTCTGCTGGTCAGGTAGCGCGCTGCAGAGCTGTTCCTGGCGATGTTCCCTGCAGGAGAGATGTGGTCCGTGGTGACCGAGTCGCCCAGGTTCAGCAGCACGTAGGCCTCATGGATGGACTGGGGGGGCTGCAGCTTCATGGTCTGAATAAAGACAACATGAGACACGTACAGTACAGCCATGGCCAAAACAATGCTAATATTAGTCTAAATAGACTATATTGTCTGAATAATTGTGTAGTTACTAGTAGTAGTAGTTAATAATTGGATTAATAATAGTAGTTGAAATGTAGCAGTGGTATCAGTGAGATGTCAACATTGTGAATGTGAATGAGTAAATCTAAATATCATCGTATGTTGAAAAAAATAAAAATCAGGAAAATAAAAAAAAAACATTTCATGTCAAAAAAAGGTCATAGTTTACTATGGTATGTCAAAAGAAGTCATAGTACAATACGAAAAAAGTAATAGTTTAGAAATATCAGAAAAAAAACTCACAGTATAGTAGTGTAGTAAGTTAAACATATCGGAAAAAACAGGATAGTACAGTATTTCGAGAAAGTCAAAGTATAGTATGGTAATAATAGAGCTTTTACACTACTGCTGCCGATTAAAAAATTCCCATAACCATTTACAGAAAAACTGGAAAAATAACATTTTAATTAGATTCATTTACTTGTTGTCTTGTAAAAATGGCAGAGTAATTCTAGTCGTAGCATGAGTTTGGGAGGATGTTTAATTTGTATATTTACCAAACCATCAAAGAAGGGTGGAGACTTGATGTAGGTTGAGTTGGTGTCCCAGGGATACAGCTTGTCGGAGGGAGCAACCAGAGAGTTCCAGCGCTCGTTCACACTCTACGACACAACACGTATCAGATGATCAGGTCAATCACACATACATGTACAATGCTGGGCCATCTGACTCCAGGCTCACTACCTCAATCTTCTCGTAGACTTCTTTGAACATTGTTGGGATCACAAACTCTCTCTCCACAGCCTGGATCTCCTCCCGTGTGGGCCAGATATCCCTGAGGAAAACTTCTTTACCCTCGGAATTAGTGCCTGCAAAAGACACATTGAAAATCCTTAAATATGTGAAAACTACCTTTGTTTTTGCATTAAAGCGGCCCTATTCTGCTTTATGGGGTTCTCCCTCTCCTGCAGGTATTTGTGCTTGTAACTGGTCTGCAGAGGCTGAAATCCCTGTGTTCCCTCCAGAGGGAGTTTCTTTCCCTCACACTCTTGAGTCACTACATACTGATATGCACCTGAACATCAGCAGGAGAGGACTCTTTAAAGTAGAGACACTACATACTGATATACACCTTAACATCCGCAGGAGAGGACTCTTTAAAGTAGAGACACTACATACTGATATACACCTGAACATCAGCAGGAGAGGACTCTTTAAAGTAGAGACATTACATACTGATATACACCTAAACATCAGCAGGAGAGCTCTTTAAAGTAGAGACACTACATACTGATATACACCTGAACATCAGCAGGAGAGGACTCTTTAAAGTAGAGACACTACCAGTGGCGACTGGTCATTAGGGGCAGGTGGGGCACAGAAAAATAATATATATATATAAAATATATTTTAAGATCATGTTTAATTATCTGATTCGTCTGTACATTGCTGTTTTAGTCTGTGTTCTTCTAGTTAGTGTCTACAGTGTGTGCCTATTGAGCTGTTTAGAGCCATGTGGGACAAAACCCGATCATGCCCCTCCCTCTCACTGTCCAAGTGAACGGTGACTGTAAAAACTACACTGCGCATGCTCAGAGTATTTTCCT